GTCTTAAAACACTTTTACATGGACAAAGCGCACCCATTGAGTACATCAATGATTGTTCGATCACTTGAAGTGAATAAGGACCCGTTCCGACCTCCAGAAGAGGATGAGAAACTCCTTGGTCCTGAAACACCCTATCTTAGTGCAATTAATGCACTTATGTATCTTGCTAATGCTACAAGGCATGACATAGCATTTTCTGTTAATTTACTAGCAAAATATAGCTCTTCTCCTACACGGAGACATTGGAATGGGATAAAGCATATATTGTGATATTTAAAGGGAACACTTGATATGGGTTTGTTTTATGCTAACAAAGGTAGTGAAGATCTTGTTGGTTATGCATATGCAGGTTATCTATCTGATCCCTATAAAGCTAGATCTCAAACCAGCTACGTGTTTACATGTGGAGGTACTGTCATATCATAGCGCTCCACAAAGCAATCTATTGTTGCTACTTCTTCAAATCATGCTGAGATAATAGCTATTCATGAAGCAAGTAGGGAATGCGTATGGTTGAGATCAGTGATTCATTATTCAAAAAAATATGGTTTGAAATGTGATAAAATATCCACAATTTTATACGAAGACAATGTTGCATGCATAGCCCAATTAAATGGAGAATTTATAAGAGGAGGTAGAACGAAGCACATTTCACCAAAATTATTCTACACACATGATCTTCAGAAAAATAGCAACATTGATGTGCAACAAATCTGTTCAGGTCATAATCTGACAGATTTATTCACTAAATCTTTGCCAACTTCAACTTTTCAGAAGATGGTATACAAGATTGGAATGCGGAGACTCAAATATTTGAAACAAGGTTTTCATCAGGGGGGATGAAATATGTGTTGTACTCTTTTTCCCTTACTAAGTTTTTTCCCATAGGGGTTTTCTTGTAAAGTAATGAGTCAGTTAGAAATGCGTATTACTAAATATGTATACTCTTTTTCCTTTACTGGGATTTTTTCCACTGGAGTTTTCCTAGTAAGGTTTTAACGAGGCACATTATCTTTTAATGAACATCCAAGGGGGAGTGTTATGAAAATATTATATTGTGAAGTCCATTTATTACTCCGTTATAGATAATCTTCCTGAAGAAGGTTATCCATTTAGTACTCTGTTGAAGTTTATTTACAAGCAGTTGATGCAGACAGGTTGCAAGCAACTCAATGAAATGATTTGCATCAGCTTCTTATTAAACAGACAGGTTGCGAGCAACTCTGACGAGTATATAGCGTATATATAATTCTGACTTGTACTTTATCAAAAAATAGTATAGAAAGATATCGAACCCACATAAATTTGTTAATCTATTCTACAGATGTTTCTTGTTTTAGTTACTATTTAAGAAAATCAAAAAAAGTTGAGTTGTGAGTTAACTAACTAAAAGTAAACAAAGCAATGGAGAAATATTTTTGTATTTCACAAATATAAAAAGATGTTGGGATCCTCACTTCATTTAATATTTCTATTATATAGTAGATATATTTATTCTTTAATTTCTATTTCTCGTGAATGTATAAATGCCTCTAACGATTACACTTAGATATTATTACTTAAGTTAAACAAGTAGTTGCACTCCTTTTGGTTATACAAATTAATCATCAAAATAGTAATGTTAAAGAACCAGAAATAAAGGCTTGAACTGAAAAATGCTCTTTTTAGTAAGTCCATTTCGATTGCCCTACTTGTTATAATAGATTACTACAATATTTGCCTCTCTCGATTACAAATAAATGTAGAATTCATTATAACATAATATAGATAGATATCATCACTACATAAATATGAACATCTATCAATAAAGCAGATAAACATAAAATAGAATTTAGCCCAAACATGTGAGATTATAGAATAATATCTATTATTATATAGAAATATTAAGATATGTCTCCCAACATAAGAAAATTTTCTCCATATTGGAGCCAATACCGACAACAGAAATATCATTGCCCATTTAATACGAAAATAGAAAGAAATATTCAAGAAGAATATTTTCCTCTATTTAATTAAAAACAGGAACTAGAGTAATTTTTCCGACACTACAATTTATTCGGAATTAGAGAAGAAGCCAATATAATGGCTAAAAGATGAAAAAGAAGAGAAACTAAAGAACAAAGAGAAAGGAGAAACTTTCTGCTCAAAATCTGATTTCAATAGTACACTTCTAAGCTTTATTTTTCACGATTGATGCCTCTTTTTATAGGCAAGCCATAACAAAGTTTTCAATACACTTCTGGATATGAACTTCTCATGGTTGATTGTGGCCTTGTTATGCTTGGTTATGAGCTTTTGTTGTAGGACAGTTATGGATCGGTTATAGTTTGTTGTAGCCGGTTGTGAGTTGATTGTCCTTTGTCATGGTAGATCACATTTATACAATGTCTTTGTTTAGCACCATATTTTACTCTGCTTTAACTGGTCTATTTTCTAATTTTTCCTTTGTAATCTTCTCGCTCTGGGACTAATTCTTCTTTAACATTTCCTGCATGATTTTGACAAAGTATGGAAGAAATATGATAATTTTTTGTGTTTTTACAAAGAAATTATATGTTAAAAAATCAAGCAACAACAACAACAACAACAACAACCCAGTATAATCCCACTTAGTGAGGTCTGGGGAGGGTAGTGTGTACGCAGACCTTACCCTAGGTTAAAAAATCAAGCAAAATGCACTTATCAAGCTCATGCGGACAGCTTACAAGCAGCTCAAGAAAAGTCTTGCAGCTGCTTCCTGAAAAGTCTTGTCGTTGTTTCCTGAAAAGCCTCGTAATTGCTTCCTTTCTTCTATAAATAGAAGAGTTTTCAGTTCATTATATATATATCAGTTTGAAGATGAATAATATATCAGTTTCCCTCTGTACCTGTCTTTGGTTATTTATTTTACGGTCGTTATTTACAATATTTAAGAAATTTTCTTGTCTCGACTTTTTTATTTCTGTGTCACAACTTCTAAAAGACGAAATAATGAAATTGAGATCTCTACTGGGATCGTTTTTACTGTAATCAGGCGCAAAACACGTGACATTTTCTTTAGCTTTTAACATGTTGATGTTCGTTGGTTAGACCAAAGTGGGAACTTCGTTTAAGAAACTTAATAAATCATACTGATATGCCTAAGATAATACAATAAGGACCAAAACAGACTCACTCTCAAACTTGAGGGACCATTTGAGTTAAAACAAACTTAAACCCGTACTTTGTTCAGGTGTGAAAATGGAAAAGGAATAGTCTAAAGTCGGAAGTTAGATTTCTCTTCATATTCAACTTTTCCATTTTAGCATTTTTCCTAAATAATTAATTTGGTCCTTTTTAGTAGATGAAAAAATAATCACGGCTTTCACACTAACTTTCCACAGCCACCAAAATGCTGCATTGGAGTAATAAATATTTCTGTATTTTTAATAAAAAATTCAGAGTCCGAGCCTTAAGCATGAAAAACGTGTTTAGTAGGCACACTTTACTCTCAGGGATCGTTTGGTTGGGAAACAAATTATCCTAAAATTAATTATACTGGGCTAGTTATTCTGGAATTATTATCCCACACTATAGTAGGAATTAAAATTAATACTATATTTTCGAGAAAACTAACCCGAAATTAGTTATATATTTTATCCAAACAAGCGTGGGATATACTCATTTCAAATTTAATTTTGAAATTAATTATTAATTATATCTCGTGCTAAATGAGCCCTAAAGTGTAATATTTGATTTTTGGCGCATATCTAGATTAGTTGAGCCTAAGGGTGTCTAACGGGCCGGGTCAACCTATTTCCGGTCCGGCCCAAATCGGTTGAAACTAGAACCGGCCTGGATCGGTACAAAGGGGGTCGGGTGGGCTGGGTTAATGGGGTTGGTCCGTTCACCTTCGTGCAACCGGTTAACCGGACCGGTCAAACCCAGTCAACGTTATTTAATGTAGAACCAGTTAACCGGCCCGGACCGGCCTAGACCGGTATAACAGCTACCATTATTTATGCTTAATGTTTTAGTTTGTTAGATTAATTTGAAGTATTATTATGCATGAAAATTTAGTTTTACTCTTCTTCTTTCGTTAATTTACTTATTAAATGCAAACTTTAATTTTGTAATTTTGAAATAAATATAGCACTTACAATTTATACGTGCATTTTTTTCCCATCTTCATTGTATTCTTTATATTTTTACTTTATATTAATATAACTTACAATAGTTATACAAAATACAAAAATTAAAAATTACACTAACCCGGCCCGGCCTCTTGTAACCGTAACCCTTACGGTTCATTTTTTACCCGGATAAATCCGAACTCATTAAATCCCGTAATCCTTAACCCGTAATCAGCCCGGTTTCCAACCCGTCCAGTTCTAAATTTTGTTTACCCAATCCGGTCTGGCCCACCCGTTAGACACCCTTAGTTGAGCCAAAAGAAACTATCCAAAATTGGTGAGAAACCAAAAAAAGAAAAATTAACTTTCCACAGCAAATGAACAGCAAGTCAAGCCATGGGTCGTCCCGCTGTCCCATTTTAACTCTCTTTCTCTTTCATTTTTAGCAAGCCTTTGGTCTTAGCTCCCACAGTTAAACAATGACTAGCTTTATTTCTTTGACTCAGTAAACTGTATGACCAAATACAATCTTCTTTCTCTCTTTTCCTTTCATATTTCTTTTCTGAAATTTTCTGTTAATTGACTCTCAAGATCCAGCATTTTATACCCTCAATTGGGCAGTAAGTATATTTGCATCTATAACTTTTTGGTCTTTACTTTTATGTTCAATTTGTTTATTGGTATTTATACCTAACTCTTTCTTTAATTCTTATAATTAAAAAATTGTATCTTTATTCTGTTGTTGGCTGCTTTTAATTCTTGAAATTCTTGAAATTTGAAAGTCATATTAATAAAGCTATGAACTTTCCTTTCTGGTAATTGAAGTTGAATTTGCTCCTTTTTTGTTTGATTTAAAGAACCCTTTTTGGGTTTTGTTTTAACTATTATATCAAGAGCTTTTTGCTTTTTGAATTTTACTCTTAAAGTTGTGAATTTTTGTGCTTGTGGATGTGGAAGATCAAGTAAATTCTGTATTTTGGATAAAGTTATTTACAATTCATTTGAAGATAGTATTTGTAGCCTCAATTTGTTTATTGTTACTTATAACTAACTGTTTCTTTAATTGATGTATTATTGCCTTTCTATGAATACTTTGAACAAGGACAGTAGTTTATTATTCTTTAAAATTTGGTTGTCCTTGTCAAAAAGCTCTGAACTTTTCTTTCTGGAATTGGAATTTGCTCTTTTCTTCATTGATTTAACAACTTTTTCTGGGTTCTATGAGTCGTGTTTGTTGGGCGTTGAAGATCAGATAAATCATTTTGGGTAAAGCTTTTTTGTTGAGCCGAAGGTCTTTCGGAAACAGCCTCTTTATCCCCAGGACAGGGATAAGGACTGCGTATACACTGCCCTCTCCAAACCCCACTTGTGGGATTTTACTAGGTTGTTGTTACTCGTGTCAATTATGGTTTTTTTTTATACTTCCATCTTAAAGATGTGAATATTTCTGCTTGTGGCTGTAGAAGATCAGTTTGTAAACACATCTTTTGGATGAAGTTTTTCTTTTGTTGGATGTAGTAGTATGCGAATTTTTCTGGGCATCTGCTGCTTGCTATTGTGCTTTCTCTTGCCGAGTTTGTTTGTCGTTTTTTCCTTTAAAATCTGTGTGGAACAGTTTTCTTATTTTCTTTAGACTAATATTTCCGTGTAGAGATAAGTGTGGGATTTAAGTACCTCTAGTTCTGGAAAGCACTAGTTTGCCTTAGAAGACAACTTTATCTAGTATTGAGATGAAAGGAAACTGAATAGAGCGGATGGATACATAGATTCATATAGTTTTTCTTGTCTAGTTTGGGATTGAGGCATAGTTTACTTGACTAGTTTGGGATTGAGGCATAGTTGATTGATTGATAAAACTGACTCGTCATCTATATTTTTCCCTTGCAGTTCTTAATTTCCCCTTCAATATTTTGTAGGTTTCTGGATTTAGCTCAGGAGAAATAGGATTTGTACTTGCAATGCATTTCACATTGTTTGGGGTTGCAAACTAGTCTATAAATGTTTCATTCAACGCGTAACTAGGCCCTTCAATTGATCTAGGCCCTGCAATTATGACCAGGCCTTTCACCAAGATGGCATTGGATAACAGAGCTCTTACCACTCTTGCTTCTATTTTGATCTACTTGGTCTTGAGTCTAGATGTTTGCTGTGCTGTTCAAAGCGACATTGACTGTCTGAAATCTGTAAAAGAGTCATTAGAAGATCCATTAAATTACTTGGGGTCAACATGGAACTTCGATAATCAGACCGAAGGTTTCATCTGCAAATTTACTGGGATTCAGTGTTGGCATCCGGATGAAAGCAAGGTTCTGAGTATCACTCTTCCTGACATGGGTCTTAAGGGCAGGTTTCCACGTGGTATTCAGAATTGTACCTCTATGACATCATTAGATCTTTCGAGCAACGAGCTCAATGGAAGTATTCCACGTGATATCTCCAAAATTATAGGTTTTGTGGTAATCCTGGATCTCTCATCCAACAACCTATCAGGGGAAATCCCAGTGGATCTCGCAAACTGCTCTTTTTTGAATGACATTAAACTTGACAACAACCAGTTGACGGGTCAAATTCCTCCACAAATTGGCCTGCTTGGTCGGCTCAAGACTTTTAATGTAGCAAACAATCGATTGACCGGACCAGTTCCAAATTTCATAAATGCAACTATTCCCGCTGAGAGCTATGCCAATAATGCAGGACTCTGTGGAGATCCGTTAACTCGTTGCGAGGGTTCTTCCAAGAAACCCCGTACAGGAATCATCGTCGGTGCAGCTGTTGGTGGGGTGACTTTAGGTGCTGTATTTGTGATCCTCGGTACATCCTTCTACTTGAGAAAGATATCCAGGAAGAAGAAAAAGGAAGAAGATCCTGAAGGGAATAAATGGGCGAAGAGTATTAAGGGTACCAAGACAATCCAGGTGAGAATTTTTACTCTGCCGAATCATTATAAACTGTCTCTTTATTGACATTTCTGTGCGCGCTTTGTTCATTTGTTAAAATCAATTCTAGTGGGTTGTTGTTTTTGTTTACTGTTCCTACTGTAGCACTGTGATCATATTTATAATCATAAATTCATGTTTTCTTATAAGCATTCAACCTCCATGTTAAGTGTGAAGTATGAATTTTCACATGTTGTGTGATTTTTCTCTTGCTCAAGCTTTCTTAATTGACTTAAGGTTTGTTATTTTCAGCTTTCAATGTTTGAGAAGTCTGCTTCAAAAATGAGATTAAGTGATCTCATGAAGGCCACTAACAACTTCAGCAAAAGCAATATCATCGGGTCAGCAAGTACCGGGACTTTCTACAAAGCAGTACTTGACGATGGTACTTCACTTATGGTTAAGAGATTGCAGAATACTCAACATTCAGAGAAAGAGTTTGTATCTGAGATGGATACTTTGGGAAAGGTAAAGCACCGTAACTTGGTTCCTCTTTTAGGTTTTTGCATGGCAAAAAAAGAACGGCTGTTGGTCTACAAGGACATGCCAAATGGCACCTTGCACGATAAGTTACATTCGGTGAGTGAAGAGGAAAAAACTCTCGAGTGGCCTATGAGACTTAAGATTGGCCTTGGAGCAGCCAAAGGATTTGCATGGCTTCATCACAACTGCAATCCTCGTATTATTCACAGAAACATTAGTTCTAAATGCATCTTGTTGGACATGGAATTCGAACCAAAAATATCAGATTTTGGACTCGCTAGGCTCATGAATCCAATTGACACTCATTTGAGTACCTTCGTCAATGGAGAATTCGGGGACTTTGGTTATGTTGCTCCTGAATATGCACGAACTCTTATGGCTACACCAAAAGGTGATGTGTACAGTTTTGGTGTTGTACTTCTTGAGTTAGTAACTGGTGAGAGACCGACCTTTGTTACCAAAGCTCCCGAGACCTTTAAGGGAAATCTCGTGGAATGGATTTCAAATCTCTCTGGTGAATCTAAGCTTCACGATGCGATTGACCATTCGTTGTCTGGTAAAGGTTATGACAGTGAGGTTTTCCAGGTCCTTAAAGTTGCATGTCTTTGTGTGTTGTCTGCTCCTAAGGAGAGGCCGACAATGTTTGAAGTGTACCAGTTTCTGAGAGCCATCGGAGAGCGATATCATTTCACAACTGCAGATGACATTTTGATGATGCCTTCAGAAAGCGATGATGGCGGACATCAACTGGACGAACTCATCGTTGCTCAATAAGTAAAACAGGCTCGTTGTTCATTGATAATGGTTGAGTAAGTAAGATACAGTAATTAATATAGAATCATAGTAGTCCTCTGTAATTGTAGGTGGTTGTCTGTTCTGCATAATCTTTTTCTATCCTGTACAAATACCACGTTCACTATCTATATTGATTATTCTACTGTAAGTCCCTTCTTCATAGCTTACCCAACTATGTAACTTGTGTTTCCTTTTCTGTATTTTTATTGCTGAAGAGATTTATACAGATTAGATGTCTGTCTCTATTTTTTTTTTCTTTTTTTTCTTTTGATTGATTTTTTCTCCAGACCCTTGTATTAAGCTTGAAGGGGAGCCTTGAAGCAGCAGTCAAGTTGTCTCCTTGTGACCTACACGTCATGGGTTCGAGACGTGGAATGTCACTGATGTTTGCATCAGGCCAGGGTAGGATGTCTACGTCACCCACCCCCCTTGGGGTGCGGCCTTTCCCTGCACCCTACGTGAACGTGGGATGCTTTGTGCATCGGTTGTCTTTTTTTTCCTTGTATTAAGGTTGAAGGGAGGGAAGTGACTTAAATATTCATGATGTCCATTTGACTCTCTCTGCTTTAGATATTAGTGGAAACAACCTCTTGAACAAAATATAGGGTATGATTGCGTACAATAGACCCTTGTGGTCCAGCCCTTCCCCGAACCCCGCACTAAGCGGGAGCTTAGTGCACCGGGCTGCCCTTACTGCTTCAGATATTGGTTGATGAAGGTTTGAATTGGACCTTCCTATTATTTAGGCTGTGAGAATGATATCGATGTGTTTACCGATAGGCTTAGTAGCGTGCATGTCCCTTCATATTCTTAGATTTTTATTACGATACGTGATTTTGTTTGCCTCAGGTATTGTATTCCCTTTGCTATTATTTGATACTACTTATCCTTTATCTCCCCTTTTTCTCTTTCATCCTTCTTCCTTCCTTGCTTCCCTCTTCCTCTTCTTGGCCTTCTTGAGCCGAGGGTTTATTGAAAACAACCTCTCTACCTGCATTAGGTAGGGGTAAGGTCTGCGTACAGACTACCCTCCCCAGACCTCACATGTTGGGATCAAATTGAGTTTGTTGTTGTTGTTGTTGTTGTTGAGAATGTTGTCGCTCTTTCCTTTGATTATTGCTATTTTGGAAGGCGTTATAGCTACTTACAAGCAGAGGCGGACCCAGGATTTGAGCGACGCGGGGGCACCGCCACTTTTAGATATGCCAATTATTAGTGACAAAGTTTGACGCCTTCCAATAATAATTATGATAAATATCAAGAAAATAAAGTTCAGTATTTACTAACATAACTAATTTGGTACTAATATAAGATTATCCGCTCATGCTTAAACTCGTTGTATTTATAATATGTGCAAACCGTGCAAAGTTTGAACTAAATTCTTGTATAGAATATCCTAATGTGATTCTAGCTAATTAAATGTTAATTAGTTAAATGTTTAGGTATCACTAATTAGAATTGAGAAAGTATATATCGTGCTGATGCATAGAAAATCATAACTCACTTGCAAATTTTCATATGGAAAACACACATCAAGTTGTCCAAGTTATTTTGCATTTTACTATCTTCAAAAGGTAAACTTTATTAGTACTTATGTGAATCCAACCGCACTCTTATTCTTGTAAAATAATATGTTTAACTTCCCCACCAGACTTAATTCTTTAATTTACCTCTTTTAATTTTCCTCTCAAATGAATTGGAAATAAAAAATTAAGAAAGAGAAAGTTCTAAACAAGGAAGAATTTAAAAAGAATAAAATAAATTTATACTAAACTAGTTCAAAACAAGATAATAGGAAAAAATATACTCCAGTTAACTACTAGGGAGTAGTAGTAAGGTAACAAAAAGGAGTAGTAAGTATAGTTGAATTAAGAAAAGTAACCCAAAAACATGAAGAAACAAATATATGAGGGGAGTTGCGATCTAGCACTGTCCGCAAATGCCAGTTCTCCTGCGAAGCTTTTGTGTTTTGAGGGGGCCAAGGAAAATATATGAGGGGTCCTCACAATACATATAAATATATATAGTAGATATATACAATATTTTTCCCGAGGCTAACCGGGTCCAGTGACCCCTCAACCCCTAGTGTAGGTTCGCCTCTGCTTACAAGCATATTCTTTTAAATGAGATGGTCATACAATTTAACATTTGTCAATTCGATGGCACCATTTTTGTCTAGATTTGTAAGTAGATTCTTTATACAAATTATTGGTAGTAACTCAGTTTAGCTCAATGAGGCCACTGGTTAAATATGCTTTAATATTTTAAGTGTACAATTTAGTCCAATAAACTCATCAAAATTTGGATTTGGAAAGAGGCATGATTTCTGCCTTCATTTTTCAGCTCTAATCTTGATTACATGATTTTTTTGCTTTCCACACTTTAAAACGGTAAATTCTTTTCCAACAACGGTCTAAAACTTGAGATGCTCCTTTTTCTGATGGAGAATCCTATTTCATTATCAATCCTAATCATATTATGAAAAGTTCCTATTTCTGCTTTATACGTTATTCTTGCCGAACCTTGCATTATTTGCTCTTGATCTTATTGACCAAATAAGTTGGGATCGGCTATATTAATCTCCACTAATCATATTTTACCATCTAAATATATCCCAGGCTAACATTACATAAAATAAAAATATAAAAAAAATACTCCAAATTCTCTATATTTTCTATTGGCATAAAATCTTTGATAGGGTTAAGGGAGTCCTACAAAGCATAAGACGACAACAACAATAACAAAAAAAAAACAGTGGAACCCGGGGAGAGCAGTGTGTGTATGCAGATCTTACCTTTATCCTTGGGAGGTAGAGGGATTGTTTCCGATAGACCCTCAGCTCAAAATATTAACATGACAGACATATTTCCAACTAGTCGATATCACCTACAGTCAGACCTCTTTATAACAGCATCCTTAATCCTTATATAACAATACTTCAATATATGTTCTATAACATCAAAAACTATTCATAACAAATGATGTTGTTATAGAGAGGTTTGACTGTATATAGATATTTTTCTTTTATGGTATCTTATCTTTCGCTAAATCCTCGTGAATTTCAAGAAATGATAGATCCTTTTAAACAAGTTTCTTGTGATTTTAGGTCTTCTTCGTCCCTTTTTAACACATTCAGTTACCGTGATGGTACACTTACAAGAAAAGTTATTGCTTTATCTTGCTGAAGAAAATCTGCTCTATCATGTCAAAAGAAATAGAATTTCCCAATATCTTATAGAATGATCTAATATAATACAAAATTCAGATAGATAAAGAGTTACATATCCCTAAATAGTTCTGCACAATCTAAGGCAAACTCCTATGCTTCCTATGTAGTAATAGATTACATTGTTTTTGGCCAAAACTAAAAACTAGCATTTGCCTGTTATGACCAAATAATTCTACTAAGGAGATGAGCTTTCCTCATCAGAGGAACTATGCTGCCGTTTAGCTCTGAATCCACTAATGACAGGTTGTAGATTTGGATTAACTGGAACTGGAAACTTTTGAGCAGAACTAACTATCGTCCGCTCATTTATCGTTCCAACTTCCTTGCAAACGCGATCAAGAATCGTTAGGAAGTCTTTGACAACCATGAATATTCTGAAAGGGTGAGCCTCTTCTCTAGCTGAATCTCCGTGGACATACTCTGTTATTTCTTTCACCAGCGACATGGCCAACGTTTCTTGAGCTTGGAGCTTTGAAATCTTCTCTTCTGCTACTTTCATAAACCTGTTCATGGACTCGGAGAATCTTTTAATACTGCTTTCATCCAATCCAACGGTTTCAATGGATCGTACAACCTCAGCTATGTTTCCAATCCCTTTAGAAAGTTTTAAGACGTCGCTGTGGAGTACTTCTGAATCCATGGCAGCAGATTTTTTGACATTTATAAGCTCTGAACTAATACTGGAAACAACTTGGAGGCCAAGCTTCCTGCACTTAGCGTTGTCATTGGTAGTAGACTGTTGATGATTCTGATTTCCACCAGAAAGACGAGCACCTTCACCTTTTATAATCTCAAGAACCACAAAATGCAAGAGGGTTGTTTTCCCATCTGCTCCCTTGACATCTACAAGCTTTAGCAGTGTGTCAAGTTTGAAGGCATGAGCATCACCCCTATTTGTCCCAACATTCATGCGATTCCCCGTCTTCAGCACTGCTTCTAGAAGCTTTAAGAACATTCTGCTACTTCTCAACTCTTCACATGCTGCCTGTAATAGGAAAGCTTTATAAGGACATAGTTTGCAAGTTGTATTCTCACAATAGAATTAATTAACTAACTATTTTCATTTTAGAAGAAAATAAATTTGGGCGAATTAATTAACCCCTACTTGCATTGACTCTATTAGCAGGCAGTTAACAGGGCAGAATAAAATTCTGGCAGTTTCAGATCATTATACATGATTACTCCAAAACAGCCTCTCTGCTCTTCCAGGTAGGGGTAAGGCTGCGTACATCCTGCTCTCCCCAAACCCCTCACTGGGTTGTTGTTGTTACTCCAAAGTCCAATATTTAGCAGTTAATCTCCTAAAATAGGGACACGGCAACAGCAGATATACCAAGCTAATAGGATCTCTGCTTGTTCCCAGATAGTATTCAGAAATGCTCACATGCTATGTTGCTTGGACTCTCCAAAAGTGTTGCCGTATCCGTGCCGGATCCTCCAAAAATGAACTAAATTTGGAGGATCCGACACGCACCTGACAATATTTTTGAAGAATCCAAGTAACTTAGCTCACAGATACTAGTCACAAGAACAACACGTTAAACAATCGTTCCTCCAAAATAATATAATGCTTAATATTTCCAGAGTTTGATTTTTCAAGATGCATAATTTTATGCCTTTAAGTTGTTAGTGTTGAGCATCAATACTTTACACAAGTTTTCTTCTGATCAAAATCAAAATTCTACTCGTGAATAGATATCAATAACAAGTAGCAGCTGATACAACAACAAACCCAGTGAAATCCCACAAGTGGGGTCTGGGGAGGGTAGTGTGTACGCAGAACCTTACCCCTACCCTGGGTAGGTAGAGAGGTTGTTTCCGAAAGATCCTCGGCTCGAGAGAACGAATAGAAACAAGCAACAAGTAGAAGCTGATGATGACGTGAAATAATTACCTCTAGAGTTTCAAATGACTTTCTGAGATAGTCAACCTCATAATCAAAATTTGATATATACAGCATAGCATCTACCCTTTTGAATGCAAAAGGTATATCAAGCACTGC